ACAATTCCATGCTCCCAACTTTGTGGGAACAGTTTGGAGCTGGCCCCTTCCTCTTCCAACATGACTGTGCACCAGTGCACAAAGCAAGGTCCATAAAGACATGGATGACAGAGTCTGGTGTGGATGAACTTGACTGGCCTGCACAGAGTCCTGACCTCAACCCGATAGAACACCTTTGGGATGAATTAGAGCGGAGACTGAGAGCCAGGCCTTCTCGTCCAACATCAGTGTGCGACCTCACAAATGCGCTTCTGGAAGAATGGTCAAAAATTCCCATAAACACACTCCTAAACCTTGTGGACAGCCTTCCCAGAAGAGTTGAAGCTGTTCTAGCTGCAAAGGGTGGACCGACGTCATATTGAACCCTATGGATTAGGAACGGGATGTCACTTAAGCTCATATGTGAGTCAAGGCAGGTGAGCAAATACTTTTGGCAATATAGTGTATATGTATATATATGTATATATATACATATATATGTATACATATATACATATATATATACATATATACATATATATACATATATGTATGTATATATATACATATATGTATATATATATATATATATATGTGTATGTATATATATATATATATGTGTGTATATATATATATATATATACATATACATATATATGTGTATGTATATATATATATATATGTGTATATATATATATATATAGTAAAGAACACAAAATTTAAACTATGTTTTCTAAGCTTCTTGCATTATATTACTAACTTGTATAACCTTCAGTTGTCGTTTTTAGCTGAAAAACGTGTGGCGTCTCTAATTTTTTAAACCAACCAGTCTCCTAACTTTTATCCAAACATACATCAAAGTAGCTCCTATTTCATGCTGCTGTGTCTCTCCTCTTCAACATAGTGACTCTGTACACAGTGAAATGCGACCGCAGATCAGATGTCTAAAAGCGACAGATCCAATAATGTTAAACCGAGAGGTGGGACACGGGAGCAATGCGAAAGAGGAAAATAAAAACACAGACTCAAAACGCTCTGAACAGGGTTAGCTGCACACAACGTCTGTTTCCTTTGGCTAAACGGAGGGGGAAAAAGCAGATACTATTGGTGGGGACATGTCCACATTAGTCCTTCACAAAGTTACGCCAGTGTCTTGGTTCCTCTTTAGGTTTGAGTAAACATCCCTCTCCTCCAGCTGGCCTCTGAGGAGTGATATCTACATATCACTCTTCCTCTGCAATCAGACAGACAGGCTGCTTTCCTTTAGTTTGTGGACATCCTAAAGGGATGGGAGTGTTTCCTTTGCTGCTGGTAGACGTGTTCAAACAGATCTTCACTGCTCATCTGCATTTTAAATTATGTTCAGCAAAGAAGCTCCTAAAACACAACCTGTATGTCATTTTATAAAACACTGACATAGAGCATCTGTTTATTAAACAAACAATGAGACTGAAACCACAGCGCCTGGAGAGACAATACAGAATTCCTTAAGGTCACATTATAGCAGGATCCTGGACATAAAAGCTGGGAGACGGCCTTCAGGGAGGACGTCTGTCTCCAGGGAGGACGTCTGTCTGCAGGGAGGACGTCTGTCTGCAGGGAGGACGTCTGTCTGCAGAGAGGACGTCTGTCTCCAGGGAGGACGTCTGTCTCCAGGGAGGACGTCTGTCTGCAGAGAGGACGTCTGTCTCCAGGGAGGACGTCTGTCTCTAAGGAGGACGTCTGTCAACAGCAGTATCCAGAGTCCATTGAAGAGTTTAGACGCCAAACGCTCAGACAGCAGGCAGAAAACACAACCTGAAACAGATGAAAGAATATTAAAAACACCAGAAACATGTGAGGTAAATTATTAGGTACAAAGACGAATAAATAAAGAAGCTAATTCGAAGAGATATATACATTTATGTCTCACTGTATAATTTAATTTCTACCTTCACTTAATTGTTTATTATTCATTACTATTATTTTTGGGGGGCAATTAACTGTATGCTTATTTATTTATTGAGCATTTATATATTTCTGTATTTATTTTTAAATATGGCAGAGTTGGTCCTCCATAATCTATGAAGCTACTTTTATATAGAATATTTTCCTTGGAAGCTGCAGAATACAAAGTAAAAAAAAGATTGATTTCTTACTAGCAGACACTTATTATTTGCTGTGATGTCCACTGGAAAAGGAAAAAATCTGAAATGGGTTAACAGACAATCACATATAACATTTAGCCTCTAATGTTCAGTTTTCAGCCACAAGAATTCTTTTACACTATTGACCTTGTCAGTCTATGCTATTTTCAATTTATGCTTGTTAATGATATGGGAATTACATCTTTTAACAAATGTTCGACCATTTATTGACTATTTAAAAAATTTGCTCTTTTTGACATGTTCAGAGTTTTATATGAGCCCTCCTGTTTATCCTTTAAGAAGAAAGATATATTAAAATTTAATATATCTTTCTTAATTGTCATTTGAGTCATTTAATTTAACAATTAAATGACTCAAACCCAGAATGTGGATCT